ACATCAAATAATTCTGGCACTACCAGCGTTGTTTCAGTATGTGTTTTCTGAGTCAGGACCACATTGAGGTTTGAATGCTGGTGCCAGGAGGGGACTCCAGGGCTGGGGACTGCTCGGGATAGGCAGCCAGGATACACTTCCTGACTGAAGGCGTGAGCTAGGGGATGGAGGCTGAGCTGTCATCTTTAGACTCCGCCTCTTTGTGTAAATGGTCTCACTGCAGGCGCCTGCCTCCTCCTCGCTGAGAGACCAGGGCAGATCTTGGCCCCATCTCAGCTTGCTGGGGCACCTGAGCAAAGAACCCTGAGAAGCCCAAGTCTTCTGTCCCTAAACGGAGATGCACACTGCCCCTGTGACGCAGAGTCATGGTGGGGAGGAGCAGGAGAGCTGGTGCTTACTATGACTGTGGGGTGCCCCCCTGAAAGATAAGATGGTTCCCAGCAGAAAGGGACTGCCCTTCAGAGATGGCCTGCAGCAAGGGAAGCGGGCTTCAGATTTCTCAGGTATTACAGAGGACATTCAATTACAGGAAGCAGGTCACCTTAATTTAAGTACCCCTCAACTGTGGAGGTGTCTGCCTGTTTCAGAGTGTTCAGTCTCATCAGATACTTATGCCGTGTACTGATCTGTGCTGTAGTTTTATTCTATATGTGATACATAAAATTCTCTTCCCTTTAAACCATTTCTTCCCCATGAATGCCCAGCAGTGGTAGTGGCAGATAGAGGGGGAGGCCCTCTGGTGACTAGGTAAGTGCTGGCGGGACTTTCCCAGCAGTTTATGAGAGGCATTTCTGATTAGAGCTATCATGTCTGTCCTCAGAGGGAGGTGGCTGGGGACACGTCAGGACTGTCCTGCGCATACCACTGCTTCTCCTGAGAGGCAGGAAGGGTATTCAGACCTAGACAAGGCAGTCTTAAAATCAAGAGGCAGCACCAGGGCACTTGGAAGACCCAGAGGGACTGGCTTCTCAGAGCAGGGTTCTCCTGTCTTTGGACTCCAGGCTATCAGCCCTTCTGGAGCTCCCTGCTCGGGGTGCAAGGAGCCCCACCCGCTTCATGCCCAGTTGGACACTCAGGTTTTGTCTTGCCATTTGTTCTAGGGAAGTCACTGTGCTTTGTCTGTAGGCAGGCTGAGTAAGAAGTGATTTTCTAGGATCCCACAGCTTTCCTTTCAGCCTCCGGGTATTGCATATCTTCCCCAGAGGCCACGTGAGCTCACCTGGGGTCACCTGGGGTCAGGCAGCCTGGCAGACCGCTGGCTGCCTGCCTGGCAAGTAACTGGGACAGCCTAGGGGCCAACTCTGTCAGGTGGGCCCTGTCACACCCCATGCACATCCTCATCCCCCTGTGGGCTGTGCGCAGGGTACAGGTGCCAAATCACACCTCAGAAACCAGCACCCCCTGCCTTTCCAAGGGGGCCTCTCCCTGCTGTTTATGAGGAAGTTTCTGAAGTTCACAGAGGCAAGTGCTGTCATGGCAGCCTGGTTAATACACGCACAAGAGTAGTACATTTAAGAATAAGCTGTAACTTCCTTTCTTCTCCATTTCATATGCATTTTGGGACTTGATTTTCCAATATATCTATCATTCAAACTCAGGAGATCAACACAAAAATAATAAACCACTTAACATCCTTATTTATTTATGATTTTGTGAAATGCACTACAACTTTTTAAATTTTCCTGTAAATAATGAAACAAATAATACACTATCAACGAGTTTAAAATCATGCTGTTTTCTTTAACATAGTAGATGCTTCTTAAATTATTATTTTTATTACATCAAGATCAAACCATCTTTCCAAACCATCTTTTAATGATAGAAGTTTTCTAGAAATATCACTTTACATATCCCTTGCTCTTTAAGAATCTTACGTGGACCTCTCATCATTTTCCATCTTAAGACCACATTTGTGGAGAAATTACAGAACAGCTGCTGCTAGACGTCCGAGGCCCAGCCTGTCTGGCGCACTTAGCCTTGGGCCTCCATGATTTCTTCAGGAAAGTGCTGGGCAGTGTTCTCTGGGACATGTTCAGAAACTCCCAGTTCACTTCACGTGTGAATTGTATTCCTGTGTTTTAAAACTGATAGAAGCCGCTGTTTTCCCCCATTATGTGAAATATGTTCTGCTTTACACCCATGGCTCATTTTGCTATTTTGCAAAAGGGTCTTTTCATCAAGCAGAAAATTCTGCCAGCTGAGAAGCAGCCTTAAAGAAGGCAAGTCGCAGCCGAGCTCAGAGCTGGGATCTGGTGACACAGAGGTGCTGCACAGGCAGGCTGAGTTCTCAGAGAGCCACGTGCTCACAGGACCTGAGGCATCGGACCTGGATTCTGCAGCCCATAAACAAGGTCCATCTACTAACTATGCTGAGCCGCATAAAGCAACATTTTATTAAGAAAAGCTGAAGTGCTTTTAATTAGTTTGATCATAATGTTGCACTATGCAGTATTTAAAAACATAGAATTTGGCAAGGGAATGTCTCCTAGATCGTGATTGCCTGGAAAACAGTAATGCTGTTTATCTCCAAATGAATCTCTCATGTGGACTCATCTATCAAACTTGGCCACCTAAGAAACAGGAACAGTTGAATTCTGTTTGAAGGTCCCAGCTAGCTGGCCGCATGCCCGTGATTATTTGGAAAAATACATCAAAAGGCACTGAATATTCATGGGCTTTTCAAGAACTCCAAACCCAAACCAAAAGTAGTCAGATGTGTATCAGTGATGAAAACAATTTATTTCGATAGCCAGTAAACAAAATTATTTCTCATAAAAAGCCCTCAGTGATTTTTAGAGATTATTCTTTACCAGTATTAGGCGATCTGTACCCTTCCCGCCTGTCAGGAAATCTGAGCAGACAGAGAGGAAATGAAAAGAGAAGTCGATAGCATTTTTATCACAAGCAGATGTGAAGCACCCGTGTCAGTCTGGCATGAGGACAGGACTGCGGGGCAGTGAGGCCCTGAGTGTGGACCTGCCTGGTGTCCATGCAGGAAGGTTTACCACAGGGGTTCCCTGCCTATTCTTCTGGCCCTGGGTTGGTATCTGGGACCCTGGCCTAGGGAGTCCCCACTCCACAGGGATGAGGGGGCTCCCTGCACCTGCACCACCTGTGCAGCCAAGGAGCTCACGCTGAGCACGTGCCCTTCCTTCCAAGGTCCGGGGACCTGGGGACTCGCCAGGCAGGGCTGTGTGGGAGCGGCTTCCAGTAAACCCCGAGTGCTGTGTCTCCAACGATGTTCCTTGGCCCATGGTGTTTCAGAGGTGCTTTCTCTTAGTGCTTTTGGGTGATTATACAGCAGAAACCGCCTTCTCAAGGTCCCACAGGCTGGAGTCCAAGGTCCGGATGGGGCTAGGCCAGTTCCCAGTGAGTCCACCACACTGGCTTCTCACTGTGGCCTCCCATGGTGTCACAGGGAGAGATGTCAGCCACATCTCTACGTGTGAGGGTGCCGGTTTCATTTGTGAGACTGCACCTCCATAACCAGGTCACCTCCTAATCCCATCACCAGGGCCATGGCTCCCTCAGACCCACTCAGGGATGCTGTCTCAGCTCATTGCTGGGGACTGAAGAGCCTCGTCCCCAGCAGCAGAAGACTCAGGAACCTGTACCTGGCCTCCCTGGGCCACCTCCCTGCCTCTTTCCATGGCTGACGGCTCTGTGCCCATGAGTGCAGCTGTGTACAGGACCCTGCAGTCCAGCGAGTGAATCTTCAAACCAAGAGCTGGGCTGGGACCTCCACAGTACCTCCTTGGGATCCAGGTGTACCTACGTGACACTCAGGACACCCTAAGATGTCACAGCCTGATCCCATCTCCAGATACTAACATGGGATTTTTTAGTTCAACATACAAATTTTAAAAGGAAGTTGCTCTAAATCCCACAGATTTGTCCTGGGTCCAGCTTGAGAATGTGGAAGGCTGCTGACCAGGCTCCCCCAGCACATGCCTCTGCTCCCCTTCCCACCTGCCCCCTGCATGCCTGATCCACTACCCCACACTCTGAACCCCACCATGCTCTTCTGCACCTCCAGACACAGACAGCAGTGGAGTTCCCTTGCAAAGCCCGAAGAAATGCATGCTTCAGCTTTCCGGGAACCAGTTAAGTGCTACTAGAGACCTCTAGAAAAAACTATGTACAGTTTTAACCACATTTAATAATTTTTGGTTTTTATTATATGACAGACTCTGAATTTAAATGCAAATTTATATGCTGATAACAGCATTAAGTAATTAAAATGGCAAGGACACATGTGGCAAATGACTTAGCCATGCTGAGTGAAAAACAGCTTAAAGTAGTAAATGTTCTTCTCCTTCAGGATGGTAAATCTCCCTGTCTGCCTCTCACATGCAGCCCGGGAGTGGTAAGTCGTGTTTTCCTTCTCCCTGGAAGTGCTCCGTCCCGACCCATGCCCTGGATCATTGCTGGCTGCCTTTTAAGCTCACAGGGCAGATTCCTTAAGCCTAAGATGCTTGGTGCTTGGCTGTTCCTTAAGCCTAAGGTGCTTGGGCTGAAGTTCACCTCCTTCCACGTACTTTTCATCATCCCCAGAGGACTTAAAGTTCTTCCCGCAGTGTAGATGCCACCCGAGAGACAGCTGGGGAATAAGGACCAGGAAGAACACCTGCATCTATTCAGTGCAGGTGCGGTTTTCCCCAGGATTCTCTTTGAACCCCAAATGTGGGAAGCTGGGGCCCAAGGGCTCAGTCCAGAGCCCGTGAGCAGCCTATGCCAAGCAGAGGTCCAGTGTGAGGTGCCTCAGAGCCATCTTGCCCCAAGTGCAGGCCAAGGAAATGGCACCAGAGAACACACACCACTGTCCAGAGTGTCCCTGGCCACTGCCCCACACCGAGAGCCACATGAGACCCTGTGGAAGTTGGGGCGGGGCAGCTGTGAACCGCCTGGAAGTTGGGTGTCTCTGGCCAGGGCCCACCCCTCTCCCAGGTGAAGTGGGCTCCTCCTTGACACTGCTCACCCAGTGCCCTCCTTCCTTCCAGGCATCGTCATTATGATGTCCATGTGCGACGAGGTGCACGTGTATGAGTACATCCCATCTGTGCGGCAGACAGAGCTCTGTCATTACCATGAGCTGTACTATGACTCGGCCTGCACACTGGGAGCCTACCACCCGTTGCTCTTCGAGAAGCTCCTGGTGCAGCGCCTCAACATGGGCTCGCAGGCTGACCTGTACCGCAAGGGCAAGGTGGTGCTGCCCGGCTTCCGGGCGGCTCAGTGCCCTGAGCCCGGCCCCGGGGACGCGCGCTCTTAGGAAGGGACCTCGGGAGCCATGTGCAGCAAGGTACTACTGCCGTCCTCGTCCTCAGAGACACAGAGAATACTTGAAGCTGATCCTAGATGCTGTCTTGCAGAGCCGTGAACTGTCACGTTCTCTCCCAAGCCATTGATTATTTTTTAGTACTTTGAGTATAAAAATGGAATTTTAAGTAAAATACTCAAATAAGAGGCAAGAAAAAGACTAGATAGAAAACCATGGGTCCAATACCTCAGACAGTGCTGGCATTCTTAGGTCAGGGCTGCCCTTTATCAGGGTGGCTGCAGCTATGGCTCCCCTGATGCTTCTGGAGACAGAGAGGGTTTCTGTGTAGACACATCCAGACGGAGGTTAGGGGGAGCTGTCATCCTTAGAGACACTGTTCCCTGGTGAATGTGAGTCAAGAGCCGCCTGGACAGCAGGGGTCCCCTGATAGGTCAGGAGGGCAAGTTCCCAGCCTTGCATCCATCTCTGCCCCCCCCCACAATGCTCTGCTGCCTGTATCAGAACCAAGTGCTGGCACCCAGCTGGTCCGAGAAACAACTGGCCCCTGAGGACACGCAGAGGAGGCCCTGTGCCCTGCAGGATCCCAGGACTCTCTTAGAGCATTGGTTCAGGCAGCTTCTTGCAACAGCACCCAGAGTGTCCCAGATGCTGATTTTTCTACCTGCTGCCCCTGGCCCACAAGTTCACCCCACAGGTGACACATGTGGCAGTGATGTGGCCTGCAGGGGACACCAGGGACACGCTTATCCTTCCTCTCTAGCAGGAAGGACTTTGGAGCCACAGCCCCAGGTTACAGGGGACACACAAGGGCCTTTTTTATGCGGGGTTTTATCCGCTTCTACAAACCTGACAGCCAGTTCTTCCCGCTGACAGGTGTCTCAGAAGCCAGTCCTGGTTTTCATAGGTGTGTTTTCTGTCAGCAGCATGACAAAGCCATAATGTTAAATAACAACATGGGGTGTGGGATAGCACTGCTCTTAACAAGGAAATTCCATGCCTGTTTAGATGGAGAAGCCCACTGGAAAAACACTCACACCAGCCTGTTAGTGATGCTGATGTTTTTAACCTCAGATTCGGTCACTGATACTTTAGCGATTTTTGGTAGTGCAACAGGAACTTTTTAAACACCTTAATGAAGCATGCTGTTATTCCAGCATCAAAGCAGAGCATATCTCAGTGCCACAGTTTAGACCGAGGGCAGTGGCAACAGTGGGCTTCCTTGAAGGCAGCCCCTCACGAGGCAGAACTGTCAGAAGAGCCCACTGGCAAAGGCTTCTTCATTTCTGGAGTGGTTTGTTCCCGTGCCCTCAGGAGGCTTTCCTCAAGCAAGAGTGTCTTACTGAGCCCCACGGCTTCTCCTTGATTATTCTACCCTACAGTCACAGGCACCCCCATTGCCATGGAGAAGTGGGAGCAGTTGGAAAGCTTGTGTGTATTTATGCCGAGTCAGTGAGACAGGGTGGATGGTTTTGTCTTCTGTGTTAAATTACGTCTCAGTAGACACCATCCCGCCCTGCTTCACCCCGGTTTCCTGGAAGAGCCGGGTCCCAGCCACACTTTAGTGGGGAGAAACTTCCCAGCTCCAAAGGAGGCACCCAGGAGGTGCTCACAGTGTGAGTTCTGCTTGAAGCCTGGGGATCTTTCTAGATCTTCCAAGCTTTGCCACTGTTAAATACCCGCAGCCCTGGAAATCCCTTTATAGTCTTCCAAGTGGACTCGTTCACGGCACCCTTAGCATTCAGCACAGCCCCCTTTGGCAGGAATTTGGCCAGCAAATAATCAACTGGGGCAATACAGGTATCCAAATTAAAAGGCCCCAAAAGTCACTTCACAGATCTTTAAATAGAGTTCTATCGTAGCGGCTGTAGTTACAAAAGAATACTTTCAGTTTTGCGGAGTTACAGGAAGGGCCAACGAGCATAAAGCAAGTTTAATTAGAATCTGAAAATTTGTCCTGGCCTTAAAGAGTGCTGGGACTCAGGGTAGGCTGAGCAGTGCGGAGCACGGCACTCAAGCTCCAGGCACTGCCTGCACAGACTGCAGCCTGCAAGTTTCAGGTAGTGTCCTCACCAGTGTGTCTGCTGTGTGTCAGGCGACCTGAAGGTGCTCCTGGTCCTAAGGGCCGGGTTTTGTCCAATGCTGGCTGACTTCCCTGTGCACAGCGCCAAGCTCCAGCAGACACGTGGCCTTCAAGGAGTGGCCAGTAGTGATGACCCAGCTCCTCCCTGCCTCTGCCCTTCTGGAACACCCTTGATTCACTTGGCACAGGCCGCATCCTGTTCTTCTGCATCTCTGTCACCAGAGACCTGGTCTCTGTCTCTGTGTAGACCAATACAGCCTCCACCTGTGCCTCAATGGCCCTGTCGCATTTCTGCACTTTAGTGCCTGCTGGGGTGTCAGATGGACCAAGTGGGGTCCACCTTCCAGGAGTTAGTCTGTGATGAAAGACGGTCAGAGCCTCAGCGGAAGGCTTGGGGACCTCCAGGTGCCCAGCACTTGACGCAGTGCCTGCAGCTGACAGTACCAGCCCCCTTCTGCTTAGCCATAGCGAGACACACAAAGGAAGTGGTATGGGGCTGGGGCTGGGGGCAGACAGATAGGGCCGACACCACCCCCTAGCACCCCATGGCGTTTCCACGTGGCTCAGTCTCCCTGCACCGCACGGTGGTGGAGCCTGCTCCACGTGGAGACAAAGCACTTGGCAGCCGTGTGGGAGCTCAGTGTGGCGCTGGTCCCCTGGACGTCTCCACTGTGAAATGACTCCGCAGGGCTCAGTCACCCAGGCATTATCAGGAAAATGAAAGGGATTCCTCTGATCGCTCAAAGAAATCAAGGATAAGTTCTGATTCTTGTTTTATTAAATGATTGAAATCTTTTAGTAAGAAGAAAATAATCCAGTTTTTCTGTACAAGTTTAGGGTAATGAAAGTTGAAGAATTTGAGACCTTGATATAGTAAGATTCTTGCTCTTAGTATGAAAGTGTGCATGTAGATATAGTTATATAATTGCATATATACATATCTACACACATGCTTGATTTTATATTGTCTTTTTCATTAACTTTTATGATGTAACCTTTACAGTGAAATTTTTAAATTATGCAAACACTAATTTTTTAAGAGAAAGAAACAAATGTTACACCTCCTTCTACTAACAACATGGCCCTCCAGCCCCTCCACACGCATTCTGCACCCCCTGACGATGGCAAACCACAGGCAGAGCAGAAGTATTTTAAAGACACTGTGAAGGTAGAATCATTGCCTAATGTTGGATCTGCATCAGAACCCTGATTGTAACTCTGAACTCAGTTTATCACTAGCTCGTGGCTTTTACAAGATCCGGGGAAGAAACAATTATTTGGTTCCATGGAAAATAACCTAATTAGATAAATGCATTGTTGTGATGAAATCTAGCATTTGTAACATGCACCCTGTTTTGCTCTGTATAAAATACTTATAAAATCCTTCTAGTGGAAACCAATGAACTTTTGTAACAGCTTTGGGAATTCTTTTGTATGATAATTTTTAAACTGAAATGTGTGCCCTTCCAATTAACTAAGGCTTGAGGTTTTCCAGAAGTTGCATTTTAGAAGTGTTTGTACACATTTTAACACTTTGATATTTTCTATTTTGGTTTTGTATATTTTTATGTTTACACAGTGTATAGACTTTTCTTGTAAATAAAACATGTTTTCATTTGTCTGGAGGTTTCTGCTTTAATTTGTAGAAGTTACACATACAGCCAAGTAGATAGCAAAGAAATGGGCCATTAATAATGAGGGTGGATCAGAGATCTAATTAGGTTCCTGAGAAGCGAAAGCAGGGACCGGACTGGAATCACAGGTGTCCCCCAGGGTTGTCTTGCATCGTTAATTGTCACATGCAACAAAACAGAAGTGGCAGGAAGAAGAGGGAAGTGTATTTTAGGCTCATGTGTTCCTTGGTAAAGGAGCATCTGGTTCATTCTTGTCCTTTTTTAACCGATGGCTCTCCCCAGCCTGTCTACAGGTATGGCAGGAAGGCCATGGCCAGTGGCAGGCGGGTCCCATGTTGGTGGTGGTTGTTCTTGCCCCACTGGATACCAGCTTTGAGCCTTTCGCAGGTGACGGTGAAGGTTTAGCTCTGCTGGCTGGGACAGGGAGGGTCAGGTGAGGCTCTGTGAGGACCTGGGGGTGCAGTGGGTGAGGGAGCCGTGGGACCCCCAGGCCAGCAGATGGTGTCCTCTAAGATTTAGGTGCTGCAGGAAGGCTCAGGGAAAGAAGAGGAATCACAGGAATTACATTACCTTGGTCTCAGAGAGGAAAGGGCTGGCAGAGTCCCTTGCTGAGATGCCGACTCCCTTTACAGGGTTCTCTCCACATTGTTTGTCTTCACAAAGGTCCAGGGGGCCCCATCAGAGTAACCACCAGCAACATGCCCTGGCCAGAGGTGGTAGAAGGAAACCCTTCCTGCTGTGGGTGGGTATGTGCAGGGCTTTCTCAGGAGTTAAGGCAGCTGCCCTGGTACCGGTAATAGACACAGGAAGAGAGAATAGGGTTCCTACGTCAGACAGGCAGCTACATTGGGAGTTTTTGTGGGTGGTAGCGTAGTACTGGGGACCAAATCCAGGAGCATTCTGCCGCTGAGCTACATTCCCAACATCCTGTTACTGATTTATTTATTTTTGGTACTGGGGATCAGACTTATGACCTAGCACTTGCCAGGCAAGCACTTGTGTCACTGAACTAAATCCTCACTTCTTTTCTTTGAGACAGAGTCTCCCTTAGTTCCCCACATGGGAATTGAGATTTCGATCCTCCTGCCTCAGCCTCCCAAAATGCTGGATTATAGGTGTGCACCACTGTGCCCAGTGTGCCCTGGAGTGCCATTCACAGTAGCCAAAAAAAATGTAAGTGACTTAAATGTCCATCAAGAGATGGATGAGTAACAAAATGCAGAGCACAGACACTGTCTGACCATGAAGATGAGAGTCCTGCTGTTTACAGCACAAGAGGGACGTGCGAGGGACGTGCGGAACCTGAGTTCACGAATACTAAGCCAGGCACAGAAAGACAAATGCATCGTAAACTACGTACATGTAGAATCTAAAATGTTAATGCCATGGAAATTGAGAATAGGATGGTAGTTACCAAAGGCTGTGGAGAGCAGTGGAGAAAAGATGGAGAAAATTTGCTCAATGGATGTTAAATTTTAGAAAGAAAAAATAAATTCTGGTGTTATTTTACAAAGCAGGTTAACCACGGATACCAGTAATGTACTGTATCTCTCAAAACACCAGAAGAAAGGATTTTGAACATTTCACCAAAAGAAATGACATTAGAGGAGACAGACATACTTACTCTGATTTAAACATTGTAAAATATATTGAAACATTGTATCATATTCCAAAACTATGGACAAATTTTACATATCAATTAAATAAAATTACATCTTTGTCTATATAAACAATAGTAACTTAGAACTTATTTTATACTTATTTGAAAAGATTTAGACTTATTTAGATATTTTTCATGGCTTATTATCACCTTGGGAATAAAGAAAAAGCAGAATAAGGTGTACCTGACCACTAGGTTATTCTGGGAATACAGCCCCTCACTCCCGAAGACTTTTGGAACAAGACACTTAGTTCTCTGGATTCCCCCCGCCTTGTCCAGTGAACCGTGGGAAGCGATGGCCCTGCTCACATATGAGGAGCCCTGCCCAGTGCCTCCAGGACTGTCTCCTGACCTGCTGAAGTGGTCTTCGGTTCTGAGGTCTGCAGTGGACAGTGATAAGACCCTCCAGACTGCAGACCACAGAAGGATGACTGGAAGATGCACCCCAATTTCAGAAAAATTAACATGGGACATAAATAAATCTTGATGAGAATCAGCATTTCAAGTCTAATATGGATTTAGGTTCTTCCCTGATCATTGTTTAATTCTGAGATGCTGAAGCACTCCTGATGTGGCAAAAAGAAGGACTGAAAAACATGAAGTCCACCCACAAAAGCCAGAAGAACACTGGCAAGAAGTTTTCAAGCCAAACTTCTCACACATTTGGAAATTAAGGACTGCAATAATCTGATTTCAGAAAAGTGGCCACTACTCTGTAAGAGTGTTGACCTTGGGGCTTTAACAGGCCCTGACCTCCTGCTGCCCAGACATCTTGAACAACACCAATATCATCATTGTGAAAGCTGTGAAAGCTGGGAGCCCTGTGGTCGCTGGAGGGGTCAGACAGCTTTGAAGCTTCCTAAAAACCCAGAAAAGTGCTCCTGTATTTCTTATGTCCAATGAAAATTTCCATTCAACGTGAGTGTCATAATTTACCCAATTCAGAGCTCACTGGGGCTCACAGTTCTGTCTCCTAGATGTTTGTTGAAGACAATCAGTGGCAAGTGTTTGATACCACAGCTACAAGACCTCTTGGTGCTAGCAAGAGGCAAAATAAAACAGCTACAAGAAAAATTGGGAAATTAGAAGTCGAATAGACCTCTACTCCATTCCTGGGAGTCGAGAAGGTCATGCCTGTGTGCATGGCTGGGGAGATCCGGGAGGAGCCTGACTTGGATCTGGCTGCCCCAAGGCCACGGTGTTGAAACCACGTTTTATACACAGTCCCTTTTCTCTACCATGAAGGAAAGGAATGAGTGAAATGAACACCTTTGTCCACCTAACACTGTACACAAAAATTAAATTATAGACTAAAAGTAACAGTTAAAACAATAAAGTTCTTGGAAGAAAACACAAGAAAATCTTCTTGATTTGGGGTTGGGAAATGTTTGTCCAGCTGTAATAAATACCTAAGCACAAGTGACAAGAAAAAAATAAACTGAACATCACAGAAGTCAAAACCTTTTGGGGTTGAATGACAGCACCAGAGTAGTGAAATGAGAAGTTGCATATAGAGGAAAGACTTTCGAATCATAGCTCTGATACAGGTAAAGAATTCTTACAGCTCAATAATAAACAGCTGAGAAAATTTAAAATGAAAGGGATTCAAATAGCTATTTCTGCCAAGCAAGTAGAAAACGAGAGCTTAGATGTGAAAACAATCTCAGCAACCCAGGAGACTGCACTGTGGCATCCCTTTGTGCTCTCAAGGGTGGCAGAATCAAAACTCAGGTTCAGCGGGTGTGGACGAGGGTGGGGAGAAGTGCAGCCATCGTGCTCTGCCAGTGGGGATGTCGGTTGGTGCAGACACTTAGAGAAATAATTCACAGTCCTCAATAAAATCAGAGATTCCGTTACCTTCTGACTCACAAATCCACCCAAGGTGTGCACCTGCGGTAGGCAGAATGGGGCCCTACACAGACACCTGCATCTGGGCCCCTAGAAATTGTGACTGTGTCACGTCACATGGCAAAGGGCAATCAAAGCTGCAGATGGGATTAAGGCTACTAGTCAAATGACCTTAAATCCTGCAGCTGTGTTGGATGAGCCACAGTGGTCTTTAGGGAAACCCAGGAGTGAGAGAACCACAGCCAGCAGTGTGGGCACAGGTTCCTGTCCAGTGATACCGGCCTGCTGTAAGAGACAGCCAGAAGCTGAGGAGTGTCGGCAACTCCTGGAGAGCAGAGTTCCCCAGAGCCCCCTACTGCAAACGCAGCTGTGCCACACCCAGATTTTAGCCCGTGAGGTCCATGTTGGACTTCTGAACTGGAGACCTTAAGAAAATAAAATGTTATTGTTTTAAACCATTGTGATAACTTGTGACAGGATTCCTAGGTAACTATTATGACATCAGAGATAATCATTAACTATATGTGCAGAGTTATCCATATCAGCCTTGTTCATAATAGCAAAAAGGCAAAACAACCCGAACATTCATGCCAATAAATCGGTAAAGAAAATGTAACGTGGCCATGCCACGGAACTACTTTCCATTAAAAGAAATCCTTACTGACGAATGCTACAGTGCACGTGAACTCATGACATCATTCATGGGCGGTGGGGAAGCGTTGAAATGTCCAGAGCAACTGAGTCCATAAGCAGAAAGCAGATCCGTGACTGCCTGGGAGTGGGAAGTGGATGGGTGGGGAGCACGTGTTGATGGCTTCAGTTTCTACTTGGGCAATGGGAAGTTCTGGAATTAGGTAAAGGTGATGGCTGGGCAAACTTGGGAATATCCTTCAAAGTATACTTCACAGCTGAATTCTGTGGTATGTAGATTTTATCTCAATAAATATTAAACATTTATATTTAATTTTATTCATAAAATTTCAATCAGAGTTATACTGAAAAATAAAAGCCATATTTTATTGAAATAAAAATTCTAGACTGTAGGAGAGAGTGTCAGCAAACAGGAGGGAGTCTGGTCTTGGCTACTGTTTGTCCGTGCAGAGTGTCCCTGACCCTGTCCGAAACTTGGCCCTGGGTTTGACCACTACCCATCCGTGCTAAGATGTCCCAATGCCATCGCAGTCCACTGTTGGTCAGTCTCCCACAATGCTGCCAGGCCCAACTGTAGGTCACTTTAGGCCCAGCTGCCGCCCTCTCACACCCCCCCCCCAGCCAAGGCCTCCGAGCTGTGGATCTCCTGAGTGGTTTCTTCTCCCTGCAGGCTCACAGCTCCCCCAGCTCCCAGCCGGGTGTGGCCAGGGCACTGAAACATCAGCGGAGTCTCCGCTGTGCTAGTGGATGCCCCTGTGTCCCGCTACCTTCCCTGTCTCCCAAGACAACAAGTCCTGCAGTGCCTATGTGCCCACCTCAGAAGCCTTTCCTA